GTCACAAAGCAATGGAGAGATTTTTAAAAACAAACCTATATCCCAAAGCCATCTGCCATGCGCTGGATTTATGAAAGCTGCTGTTCCCAAACAGCTCCGTCTTTGCTTCCATTGCTCCATTTTATTCTAGAAATACGCTCTGGGCCAAAGCGACTCTGTCTCCCATACAAATGGAAAACTTGAAAGAGAAACTGCCAGCCATGGCTTCCTTTATGTTCTCAGGCAAAACAAACAAATGAAAAATCAAAGTGCTGGAGTTTGCAGGAAGAGTCCCTGAGGGGAACCCTGGCATCCTTGCATTTGCATGTATATAGACTTGTGTAGGGTTCACAGCTCAGTCTTAGCTCTCCCCGTTCAGGGAAACAGATGGTAAAGAACTTGACTTGTCTGTTTCGTAGCCAACCCTGTTGCTCTGCTAGACATTAGCTCTGTCTCTCACCAATTAAGCATTTACTTCTTAGTTCAGGATTTGGCAGAGAAGGACTCTGATAGGTGGCAGAGAGGGGGCTCCAGTCTCTTGCTAATGTTAGCCATTTCACCATTGTGAGAACCTTTGTGGAAGTCCTTTGATTGCGAATGGCTCAATTTAATTAGGATGGATTTTGTTTAAAATAACTTCTGCTCAATTTGTTTTTCTTCTTTCTTCCTTGCTCCCCCCAACTTGACCAAGAGGAAAACTAATTCATCTGGATGATCTATTTTCTAGGCCAATCTCTGTCTATTTATGCAAATTGGTCTTTCTTCAGTCTCTCTAAAGTTTTTTAAAAGAAGCAGGAAACATTATGCCGAGAAAAAACACAAAACTTGTTCATGAAGCATCTCCAAGAATCTGACAGTTTTTGCTCCAAGTTTCTAAATTATGTTTCAAAATCTTAGAACCGTTTTCCCATTTTATCTCAGCCTTTCACTGGAGACCCTGGGTACCTCTATCTTTGCTTGAGCAGCAGATTCAAAATGTCAACTCCAGTTAATTCCATCTTAAATAAAGGATTCTAACTTAAATCAGAGTCTTCCAAATCTTTACATCTGTCAGCCCAAACCATGGCTCTCTCTTGACCGACCCTAGATGTCCATCAGTCTTCCCTAGACTCATCATGCTATTACTGACCCCAGGAGACTCTTTCAAGTTCCATTACCCTTTAAGTCAACTGAAATTCAGAGGTCATCGGGACTTGGTTCAAATTGTTAACATTTGCTGCTGGTGTGTATTTCACATGGAAATAAAATATACTATCATCAACAGATCAAATATACCACTGCCAACAGACCAAATACAACCTCACTCTTAGACCGATATACCACCACCCTCAGGCCAAATACACCACCACCAACAGACCAAATCCATTGTGTCAATACATGGGCTGTCCTCCTGGTGTGAAGCTGGGAGAACAGTGAGAGTCAGAGAGACCTGGGGTCTGATAAGGCACCAGAAGGGGACCTAGGACCTGAAGACCTTGGAGGCAGCGGGGGTTTGTGGGACCCAGCTGTGGGGACCGGGGCTCTCTGCTTTGGGTAGAACTCCTGCAAGCCTGTTTGGAGTGGAGACGAAGCTTCCATCTGTTGGAAATATTTCCACACGGAGTGTAAGCATCCTCGAGTTTCCTCCTGGCTCCTCTAGTGTTTACTTAGCACAGATGGCCAATTTGGGATGCTAAGAAAATATTATTTTCTTATGGGAGGACTTAGGTTCTTACTAAAAGCTTTTGTTCATTCTGTGTGAGGTTCCCAAACACGCACAGGCTTTTGATTCTAAGAAAGCTCCTCTCACATACGTGTGAAAGTAAGATGATCACAGATGATCCATGGGTGCCTTGCTTCATTTTCTATGTATCTGGAATGCACTAGGAGAGGGAATTATTCCATTATAGGATGTAATGGTATCAAGCCATGTAACAAAAATGTTGAAATAAGAAAGAAAACCCCACCCACAATCTCAAGTTACTAACATGAACCCTCTTATTCTAGTCTGTTCTTTCCTAGTATGTGTCACAGGGACAGAATCCTAGTGTTTTCCTTTGACGCTCGCTTGGTGTTGCTATGACTCTGTTTTTGTACTCAGGTCTGGTGTCATCATTTTAAATTGATTCAGGAATCCCCATGCAGTTTTCCACAACAGCTATACTAAACTACAAAGGTTCCCTTTCCTCCACAGACACCCAGTGTTTAATAACAGACATTCTGAGTGCTGAGCTGGTTTTACCCATTTAAACCACGTTGCTCTTATGTATTTAGGGCAATTTCCCCCAATAGAAAATATCTCCTCTTACCCCATAGGTTTTCTTTTCAGCCCATTTCTTTCTCCCTTGTTAACAGAAGCTTTTAAGTCTAAGCTAAACCCATTTTTTTTGCCCTTTGTTTTTATCACCTGTGCAAGCAGGGTCATATCCAAAGAGTCCTTGACAATCCAGTGTGATGGAACGCTCTCCCTGTTTTCTTCCAGCCATTCATAAGTTCAGGTCCTCCATTTAAGTCTTACTCCGTTCTGAGTCAATGTTTCTCCATCATGTGTTGGGATACAGGAACACTCTCCTGCATGTAGACATGCAATATTTCTGGCACCGTTTTCTGAAGAGACTGTTTCTTCCTGAGTGTGTGTTACTGTATCTTGTTGACCAGCAATGGACTGCAGATGTGTGCTCTGGGCTCTTTTCTACCTACCTGTGTCTTCTGCTTTGATTGCTGTAGGGTCATAGTAGATCTTAACGCAGGAAGTGTGTAGCCTCCAACTTGGCTCATTTTTTTGCTAAGATTGTTTTTCCTATCCAGGCTTCTTAGTGATTCCCAAAGAACTTTAGGGTTACTTTCTGTTTCTGTGAAAGAAAAAAAAATCATTGGATTTTTCTGTAGAAATTGCATCAAGCCTATCCATCACTTTAAGTAGTATGTATATTTTAACAAGATAAATTCTTCCAATCCATGGCCATCAGACTCCTTCCCATTTGCTTGCATCCTCTTCAGTTTCTTTCAGCACTGTTTTGTAGTGCTCAGTGTGAGTTGCTTATCTCCCTTTGTCTGACTTCTGTCACTGCTGTAAATGGATCTGTGTTTCTTTAGTTGTTTTCCTGAATCATTTATAGTTAGTGTACTACTAAGTTTTTAACATTGCCTTTGTATCTTACAACTTTGGACTGGCTCTAATGCTATGTTTTTAAGTTGTCAGGGAATTCCTGCATGTTGAGAAAAAGAGCTTGACTAGGTAGATTCAAACCCAGTATTGATTTTTCTCATTATGAGTCAAATGTCCCTAGGCAAGTTTCTTCAGCTTTATGCCCCCAAGTTTCTTTATCTGTACAGTAAAATCTGTACAGACACAATTGAATAACTTAGTAAATGTGACTGGCACTGTAACAGCTACTCAACTAATGCTAGTCCCCACCCCTTCTCCAATCACCAGTCAGAAAAGCTCCAAGAGTATGGGGTATGTGTCCTGACTAGGCCAGAAGAGGAAGAAGAAACTGATGATGGATGCTAAAAAGTCTAGGATTTTAATGAGCTTGAGTTTTTTATTTGCCCAGTCTTTTAGAAGTCTCAAAACTCACAAGAGGTTCTGACAATATAAGAAGAAGTAAATTGATCAAATGGGAGACAACCAAAAAAAGGTCATGTCAGCTGAAATAAGGCGTAAGTCAGTGAGATACGTTCAAATGCCTGACCCTCCAGACACGGTGGTGATGTGCCTAGGGCTCAGCCATACTTAACACACAGTAGGTGCACATAAATACATGTGGAATTAGTGGATGGGGAGTCACTGTGTTGACAGCTGCACCTTAGATTGTAGGCCTGCAGCTGTCCTCAGAGAGTCTCAGGCCAACTTTGAAGAGGGTCAGGTTCATCCACACCAAGAAAATGTTCATGAGCTCTGCCTTCCTTTCAGCAGCTTGCTTTCAGCTGACTGCCTGCAGGGACCCCAAGTGCCCCACGCTGGTGCTTTCCCAAGATATGCGTCTTCTACATGTAGTAGGCCTTTGGGTCTTCCCTCTGCCCTCTCTTCTCTACTCCTACCCTTCTCGCTCTCCTCTCCCCTCCCCTCCCCTCCTCTCCTCTCTTCTTTTCTCCCCACCCCATAATTCTCCCCTCTTAACTAATTTACCAGTCTGTCAGCACAATACCTCTACCCTCCATGATCTTACTTGGAAATCCAACTACCTGAATCAACCTCACACTCTATGGCTTACAATGACCTAGTACAACTTTCCTCCCGTGGCTTTTCAGTACCTGGGAAATGACAGGGGGAGCATAATTTGGAGGTTACAGCTTCCCATTTGATGGGAACCAACCCACCTTTCAACAGCTTTTATTTTGCTGATAGCAGCATTATCAGCCCTGCTCTCCACAGCAGAGGCAATGACAGATGGAGAATATAAAAACAATGGGATGATTTTTACAGACTCCTAAAACATTGCTTTAAAACAAGAGGCAACATAAACATTTACCCAGAGACAGCAACGGTTTCTTCAGCATCCATTGCTCTGCGCTCCACACAGAGCAATGCCAGCCCTGCATCTCCAGCATTCCAGCTGTTTTCAAACAGCCAGCAGCCTATTTATTCATTGCCTTTGGGAGAAATGTAACCAGATGTTAAGGAGCAATGCTTTGCCCCTAGGAGTCATTCAAGGAAAATGTGAGGTCCCTTTGTCTAGTGGTTGAGACAACTCATTGTGCTGAAATGGATCCGTTGTGGTCGCTCCGGATGGCTAAGTTATGCCCCAGACATTCATTTGTCATTGGTTTGGTCCTGAGGACAGATTAGATTAATGGCAGTAGAGACCTAGGAATGGAATGGTTCAGGCAACCTTAACGGCATTGCTTCCCTGGAGTTTGAATCTTTGCAGAATGGTTAAGGGTGAGGGATCCATGGTCAGCATAGCACCAAGTAAGTTCAGCCATTTGATTCAGACCCTTCATGCTTTCGAAGGATAGCCTTGATTTGGGTGGTGGGCTCTCTAGGATCCTTTGATGTTTGACACAATTGTATGTCCGGTATCTGTTTCTCCTGTCAGGACTTTGATTTTTCAGCTGAGAAGTGAGCAACACACAAGCTATTCTTCCTTGCTGGCGTGTGATCAAGCTAAGGAGAAAAGGCCACACTCCACAGCCATGCTGGCTTGTCTCTGTTTCTTTCCCCAAGGTAATTTGTTCACGCTGGCACACTTTGTCCTGGCTGAGTCTTTGAATGGCTGGCTGTGTCACCCTCAGGCTGGAACTTAGCTATTTTGACCTTGTAGAAAGTGTATTTTGTCCCCGACCCAACTCCATGACTTAGAGGAGAGCAAGATCCCTATGAGTGTAGAGCAAAACCCTGCTCATTTCCTTCTCTGTGCTTGCCTCTGTTTGAAACTGGCTGGCTGGCTCCGAGTGAAGTGCTCACTCCCCTGTTGGTAACAACTGGAGACAGTGTACATGGATGGCATTTTGCCCCCATCCAGCTGGGGTGAACTCCATGCTGCAATGGGCCTGGAGAAGAGCTGGCATTCAGAGTGCTGCCAGCTCTGTTGGATTTATGATGGGATAGTTGCTCATGGATTCTGACTGGAGTGGCTGTGGAAACTTGGATTGGTTTGTTCATATTTTAGATCCAGGGTATATTTGGTGAAGGAAGAAAGGGGTGAGGAAGAAGGAATTCTCACACTCTCATTGATACTTCTGCAAGAGTCTCTCTCTCTCTCTCTCTCTCTCTCTCTCTCTCTCTCTCTCTGTGTGTGTGTGTATGTGTGTGTGTGTGGAGTATGTATGGGTGAGTTGCTTGCCTACACACACACAGAGGTCAGAGGAGAAGATCAGCTGTCCTGCTCTATTACTCTCCACCTTATTCCCATGAGATAGGGTTTCTCACTGAAGCTGGTACTACCCTGGCCTCCATAAGACCCCAGATTTTTATGTGGGTACTGGGGATCTGAACCCAGGTTCTCAAGGCTGTGCAGCAAGTGCCCTCACACTCCGAGTCATCTTCCTCGCCCAGAGTCATGATTTCAAAATAAAACCCTGACCATATAAACTACCCAGATAAGCACACGTGATCATTTTCCATCACCCAAGAAAGCGAGTTTGACATTTACTTCACCCCTCACACAGCTCTCCCTGCTTCTGCTTCTATGCGTAAAGCTTGTGTCTGCCCAGAGGATCTCTTCTCCAGTTTCCCTTCTGAGAAGTCTTCATTCTCCACCCGATGTCCATTTAAACAGCAGCTCTTCTTTGTAGTCAACCTGCTTTCCAGAGGTATAGGCAAAGGTTCCTAACCTGGGCTTTCATAGAAAAGGCGATGAGCAGAAACATGGAGACCTCATCAGACAACACTGCAAAGCACAGCCTCTTGTTAGATGTGCTCACAGACACATTTCCCAAACAGCCCATGAACAAACCAGCCAGGACACCATGGAGGAGAAGACCAAGGAAATACCTCTTGGCCACCCAGCAAGTGAGAGGCAGGCTCAGGCAAGCTCAGCAGCATCTTGACCCATCACTGCACTCTGCTTTTGGAGACTTTGATAAGGTATTTATTAACCCCATGCCCCCCCCCAGTTTGCTGCACTATGCCCTCTCCCTCTTTTTATTTTCCAAGAGCATATAATGGCTGCCTGACCTCCAACCTAGGAAAAACTAAGTCAGACTTTAAAAGACAACATGAAATATTCAATCTTAATGTCGAAAATTTCATCGCTTGGACTAATTTTATTTTCTTTGCCACCCAAGCAGTTTTCTCTACTCTGGCCTGCTCTGGTTATTATCTACAAGCAGCTGGTGTGAAGGGACTCATGAGAAATAATATTGAATCTAAGATGAAATTATAAATTGTGTGCCCCCCACCTCCCTGGAGGAGAGCAGGGACTGACTTGAAGGGGAGGGGTCAGAGAGCCTTATTATGTGGTCCAGTAGCTCGTAAGTGGAGCCCTATCCGCGGTGATGGCAGTATTAGGAGGTGGGGTGCTTCTGTCTGAGAGAGACCCTTCAAGTTATCTTGCCCCTGTCTGCATGAGGACATAACAAAAGACTCCATCAATGCGGGGCAAGCTGTCGCCAAATGCCAAGCCTGCTGGCACCTTCTTCTTGGACTGAGAAGTCCAAGAAGAGAGAAATAAGTCAGAGTGCCCCAAGTCCAGCCAGTGTGATAATTCTGTCACTCCAGGCTTAATAGACTCAGACAGTCCTTGGTGCTCAGCCACTTCCCCTTTGGCGTTATTATGTTTTTGCAGGCCCTGGGGATTGAAACCAGGATTCAGGACAGCAGACAGCTGGCACCTCCACCCGACTCTCCTTTAGCAGAGATCTCTCGCCAACCACAAGTTCTCTGCCCTGCCGATTTTAAACATAACCTCAGAGTCACTCCCAAGAAAGCCATATTAATCAACGAGAACTGAAATTCTAAATCAGAAACATTTCCCACATTTGCCAGAAGCAAAGCATGGGACAGAGTTCTCCAATAGGGAAGTGGTGAAAACGGTTGCTGCAGCCCTTGTGAGGCCCGTGTGCACTGCCCTTGGACCCTCAGTGCACACTTGCAGGGCATCCAGCTGCAACCTGAGAGTCTTCTGCAGCGAAGGGACACGGTTTTCTGTTTCCATACAACTGGCTAGAAATGCTGAGGAGTTGACAGTAAGTAGCTGAATGTTGGTGGGTGAAAACCCCTGATGGGGGATGTTCTTCTGTATATATACTTCTCTTATTGGTTGATGACTAAAACACTGAGTGTCCAGTAGCCAGGCAGGAAGGATAGGCAGGGTTACCAGATGAGGAGTATGCTGGGGAGAGGAGCCAGAGGACCCGGGAGAGATGCCATGCTGCCCACGGAGTAACATGCTAGATTATGGGTAAGCCACAGCCTTGTGGCAACACATAGATTAATTGAAATGGGTTAATAATTAAGACAGAGTTAGCCAATAAGAAGCCTAAGCCATCAGCCAACAATTTAATAATTAATATGTCTCTGTGTGCTGGGGCTAAAGGATGGTGGGACCTGGCAGTACAGAAACTTTCCTCTGCATACCCCAGCTTCCTCATCCCTTAGACATCAGCTGTTCACTGGAACTCCAGGATGAAGTGTGCACCAGCCACTTGACAATGAAGTTTTGTCTGGTCTTTTCTCTGCCTTACTTCTCTACTTCCCTCTTGTTTTCTGCGGATCTTCTACCTAACTCCTCACACACGGAGCTCCAGGGTCAACTTCTGGGAGAACCCAAACTAAGTTACCTGTGTAGTAGTAACATTTTCTCATAGCTGTGTCCAATTCCTGATCAGGAAAACCTTACTGGAAGAAGGAATGCTTTCGGCCCACACTTTGAGTGGATCCAGTTCATCATGGCAGAGCAGGCATGGGAGCAAACAGCTCTGTGGTGGCAGGAGCTTGCTCACAGGCTTCCTCACCTCACCTCAGCTCTATGGAGCAGGTAGCAGAGATGGGGCAAGAAACATCACTGGGGCAGTAAACCTGACGGCCTATCTCTCTGAGGCACGCCTCACTGTCCAGAGCCACCACAGCCTCCCCAGACAGTGCCAGCAGATGGGGAGCAAGTGTTGAAATCCATGAGCCTATAGGAAGATTTTGTGTTCAAACCATAACAGACTCGATATTCTCTAGGCATGCCTGTTGAGAGTGTGTGCTTCTGTAGGAGGTGTGAGGAGAGGCCAGTGATGCAGGAGGGTGAGAACTAGATGGCCTGACACAAAGTAACGAAGACAGAGGAAGTGGTTTCTTCAAGAAGGTGGTTCTGTTGGAGTCACAGGAACATGAAGAAGCAGTTGAAGAGCAGAGAGGAAAATGCAGAGGGAAGGACATCCAAGCTGCTAAATCATAACCACCTGGGAAACTGCAAATCAGATTGACTCAGACATCCCTCATCTGTAAGGGCTTCTTTATGCTATGCTCTTTATTCTAGGAGAATCTGCATATCTCCTGGCTTTCTGACAGATGTATGCAGTATCTTGGAAAAAATATTAATAAAGAACCCGCTATTCAAAGCCTTGAGTTCCGAATAGCAAGAGGCCCATTCTCTCCTTGGCTCTGGAAATCTGAGTATTTCCTATGAACACCTTGAGGAAAGCACTAGAAACACATTGCTGCCAACCGTGTTCCTGATGTCATTATTTACTTGTGTAGAGAGCACATAGATCAAAATAGACCGGCAACCGAAATAAGATTATTTTTATTTGCCACATTAAGCAAGCTATTGTCCTCGCCCTGAAAGAGATTACATAGGCCCAAACAGTTACCCAAAGTCACTGAAATCTTTTGACATGAAATGCCAGAACCTTTTAGTAGATGCTATACTGAGACCAGGGATAAGGGGAGTAATGAAAACCAATCCTATAAGACTTAACTTGTCCACTTCTATTTTTCTCCTCTTGACTGCTAGAAAGAAGAACAGGTATCATGCTGAAAGTAAAGATGGAGAAAACACTGGAACTCTGATTTTTTAAAATGTACTTCATTGGAAATTTTATTAAAAATTATTCTCTGATAATTTCATCCATGTTTACAATGAAAAATATCATACAAGCTTCCCTTTCCTTCCTTTAACTCACCCCAAACATATCCTCCACCCAACGCTGTGTCTTTTTCTTTATCTATATCCTACTAAGTCCAACCAGTGCTGCCCCTATGAGGACGGATGCAGAGCCAGTCACTGGGACATGCCACACCCCCAAAGAAGAGTGGGCTTTCTCTACCAGCAGTTAGCAACTTCCAGTAGCCCCTCAGTTAAGGGTGGGGCCAGGACAGCCCCTCCTCCATCCTTGCTGGAATTTAGGCTGCTGGAGCCTTTCTGTACAAGGAACCACAGATGTTGTGAGTTCATGAGCGCAGCAGCTGTGTCGTGTCCAGAGGACAGCATTCCATGGCTTCCTCCCAGTCCTCCGGCTGCTACACTCTTCCCACCTCCTCTTCTGCAAACAGTTATGTTCCTCTCTGATCCCAGCAGTGTCTGTTCGCCCTGACTGCAACTCTATTCTGCTGTGGACAAAGAATGTCACTGACCTACCACAAGGATTAGTATAAGGGGGAAATTTTAATAAATAATTGTTAAATGAATAGCGACATGTCCACAAGATCCTTAAAATGTGGCAGCTCTGGTGGCATCAGACAATCACATAACCAAACAAATAACCAACAATGCATAGAGGGTCCAGCACAGTGAGGCGGTACTACCAGAGTTGTGGAATATTGGGAAGACTTTCAGTTGCCCACAAACATGGCTTCCACTCTCTGTGGGTTCAGATTTGGTGCTTGACCCTTGCACGTAGCAATCCGTGTTACCTCAGGTTATAGCACCAACAAGCAAGGGCTGGTTAAGTCCTGGGATGTCAGAGGGGAGAACAGCTGTTGTGCAGAAGGCTGCCAGGAAGCTATAGTGCCAGGTGGGAGCAGAGAAGCAGAGGTCATGGGCCCCACAGGAATGCTGGGCATTTAAGTAGCCTCCTTCTTGTATTTTTCATTGAGAGAGAGAGAGAGAGAGAGAGAGAGAGAGAGAGAGAGAGTCCCTGCAGCTGGTTGTCTTGGTAACCCTGTGTGTGGGTTAAGAGACATCTCAGTCAGGTCTTCATGACAAGGGTGAGGGTCTCTGGTAAGTACATTCCTCTACTGTGATCTTGTCTGGCAAGACTGCCTCTCCTCATGGGTGCAATTCTGGTTAACGCTTCCACCTTCTTGTGACTTCCCTTTCCCAACCAGCCATACCTCCTCAGTGTTTTGATGAGAACAAACCATTAAAACATCTTCAAAACATTTTTAAACGCCTCACAAGGTCACACATTTGGTTGGCCCCTGGCAACATTTAGGTAACAAAATCTCCATGAGAGAGAAAGCGATAGATAGTAGAAGAGAAAGCAAGCCCAGAGGAAAAACATTGTTTATAAATGAAGCCAGTGCAGCATTCAGGATCACAATGAGGCACTGTCAGCATCACGGGTGGCTAAATGGAAAGGTCAAGCTACCCGCTAACCCCTTTGCTGAGCCCAACGGGATAAACAAAGTCCAAAAGATAAAATCATGTCTTCCCTGACACCAGAGGCTCAGAGGTAGCTGCTGAAAACTCCCAGACACCCAAGAAATGTATGGAGAACACTGTGCATCACCGGTTATGGTTTGGCTGTGTTGTGCACACTCTCCACCTCTGAAGAAACTGCTTGTGTGTTTAGTTTCCAGCAGGTGTCCCAACCATTGAAGGGTGATCAGCTTTTGAGGTCTCAGACTTAACCCATGAATCTCTCCACAGTGATAGGATAAATCCTAAATTGATAGGATTTGGGGGAGGTGGTGAGGGTAAGGCCTGGCTGGAGGAAGTAGTGGGGTTGTGTCTTTGAAGGATTCATTTTATCCCTGCCCCCTGCTCTGACTCCAAGTGGCCACAAGGGAAGCTCTAACTCACTTCATAAACTCCAAGCCATAGTGTTAAGCCTCACGGATACCCAAGCCCCAGGGAGCAAATGAAAACCACCAGCTAAGATAAACTGTCTCCCTCAAGTGTTTGTTACAGCAGCACAGAAACCAGCAAACACAGGGCAGTATCTGTCGTGCCAAAGAGAAATGGCCCATGTCTGTAGATGAGTGCCTTTCCATGATGCCGCTTTTGGGCTCTGGCTTCCCCAAGCTTTTCTAGGAGGGTCAACTGGCATCCATAGCAAAATGCTTCAGGTCTGGAACTTACTGATCTTTGGATGGATAAAAAATAATTTAGTTTAAGACTGCCAGCTGCCTCAAATAACTCTGGCTTGGCTACAGCTTTGGAATAAGGACACAGTTGTAGGGAGCCGTCCCTGCATTCTCCATTACAATGATGGCGCCTGCAGGCACTGAATGTAAACAAGATTATTGCGCAGGTGCTGGGTAATTTTCCATTCCTTGATCTCTGCCTATTCCGTGGCATCATATGGCTTGATGAGCTACAGCCAATCATAGGGTGACACGTCCCAGGCGGTGGCTGCCAGCCTTTATTAGGGGACGGGATTCTTGGCTCGGGGTCTCCACTCTGGTAAGCTTATGCTCTCCTCTCAAGACGCATTAAAGCTTTACTGCAGAAGGATCCGAATGTCCTGTGTGGTTCTTGCTGGCGAGGCGATTGCGCGGGACATCTGGTGTCGAAACCCGGGAACTTGTTAACATCGCCGGCACTGCGGAGACCCCTCTAACGGGGCGGATTCAGAACTGCAGGGTGGTAAGTTCGGAGAGGTATGCTTTATTCTGACACCTTCTTTTTTGACTTTGTTTTTAATTTGTCACCACTATGGGATGGAAAAGCCTTAATTCTAGTCTTTATTCTTCTTTTGTTCACATTGGTCTT